TAAATTAACTAAAAGAGTTTTGCTTGCTGAAGTTTCCAAATGTTTTGATCCACTAGGTTTAGTGTCACCCCTTACTATAAGAGGGAAATTATTAATACAGGAAGCATGGAAACTTAAATGTGCTTGGGATGAAATTCTACCTGAGGAATTCATTAACAGGTGGGATGAATTAATTGGTGATTATGAAAAAATTCCAATGTTGGAGTTCCCACACCAGGTGGCCAATCCAAATGGGAAAAATGTACTCCACATTTTTTGTGATGCTTCAAAATTGGCATACGGAGAAGTTGCTTACCTTCAATGTAATAGTGTTATTTCTCTTGTTATGTCTAAGGCTAAAGTGTCTCCAATTAAATCACGTACCTTGCCTCATTTGGAATTAACAGCCATTTATGTAGGTGTCAAATTAGCTAATTATATAAGAAATAAGTTGCAGGAGGTAATTATTAGCGACACTGTAATTGGTCTGATAATGAGGTATCCTTACAATGGATTCGCAATGGAAACAGTAAAATTGTGTACGTACAAAACGAGTGCTGAAATTTATCAGATGCAGAGAATATAATATTGGGTTAAGCATAGTTAAATTTAATCATATAACCTGGTGAGGAGAATCCAGCTGATTTTTGTCTCGAGGTTTCCTTATCTAAATTTGTAAATGCTGTATCAGGGTTTAAAGGACCGAGCTGGTTGGTAAATAAAGCATTGGGCCTGTACAAAAGGCATATATTGCTCCTTTGAAATTACTGTAAACACCGCTCCAATAGTTTGTCCTTCTTTACCCATTGACATAAATAGGTATTCTACTTAACCAAAAACTGTCAATGTAACAAGTTGGTGTTTGAATCTAAACAAGATGAAAAATTTCATTTAATTTTTCACACCCTTTTTTGAGTATTGGATAAAGAAGGGTACAGGAGGAATCTAGGGAAATGAGTTTAAATTGATGATGGAAAAAAAATTGTGAAAGGTTTTCCATAATAGAAAATTTGGGCTGTATTTAGAGAACAATGGTATTTGGGTGCCAAGAGGTAATTACAAAATGCTGAATTGGGTGTTTAGCTAAAACCCTATTTTTACTGCCCAAAATTTCTCATCTAACAAATTTGTTTGGGTTCTAAATGCCCATAAAAATGTAAAAAATGCATGGTGGGGTACAAGAAAACCTTAAATTGTATTAGGAAACTGTTCTGGATTCCACAAGGACGGCAAAAGTTAAAAAGGTGATTAAATTTTGTTAATATGTCCCCGTGGGGGATGCCAATCCTATATGTACCAGGTCCTCCACATTGCCAAAGGCGGGAAACAATTAGTGAAACATTTGATGTAACAGGTGTAGGACTATATGGTCCATAATTTTAAAGGTACTTCAGATGGTGTTCCACTGATGTGTATGGTTGTTTGTTTCACCTGAAATGCTACTAGGGCTGTTCATTTAGAAGTGGCACAGGACTTGTCTGCAAAAAGTTTATACGCTGGTTTTCGAAATTTGCAGCTAGGGATCCTGTCCAAGGTTGATGATTTCGGATGCCAAAAATTTTTGTAGCGGGTGCTCAACACTTGATAAATTAAATAATAGTAACGATTTCAATCTCTGTTAACCCAGCGGGGGTGTACCTGGAAATTTATTACTCTAGAGCCCCTTGGCAGGGGGTCTGTCCCAAAAGACGATAGGCACAGTGAAGAGGTGTCTACGCAAAGTACACACCGAAGAGAATTAATTTGGAAGAATTCCGTGCAGTTTTAGTGAGGCAGAAAATCGTATAAATAATAGGCCTCTCTCATACATGAGTGATACACCTGATGTAGATGTATTAACACCTTCTCACCTAATATGTGGAAGGAAATTGGAAGTTGCCCCTGTCTATAGAGAAATCCGGAAGAAAGTGATGAAGATTACAATGATGCGGCAGTGTTGTGTAATAAATTTAAAATGTTAAATAAATTGATCATTGGTCTAATGTGTGGCATAAGGAATATCTTCTTACACTACATGAACACTTTTAAAGGTGTGACAGAGAGCACTAAATCGACAGACCATTCAACCAGGTGACATTGTGTTAATTGACAACTGAACAACATCAAACATTGTGCCTCTGGGGAAAGTATTGACATTGTACCCAATGCACAAGGTGTTGTCAGGAATGTCAAAGTGTTGTGTCGTGGCCAGGAAAGTTTAACACACAATTAATAAATTGATTCCCTTGGAAGTAGGGGTTCAATCAAACGTAAATGAAAATCTGAGGAAGTGGACACGAAATGATATGGAAGATAACGCAGACCAAGTGATTTCCGAAGATGAAATCGTAGTAAGACCTATTAGGAGAACAGCCACTCAAGCCAGAACTGGCTGGAATCGTCTCCTAAAGGAAGGAATAATTTGAATCGTTTAGCAACGAACTCTGGCCGGCCGCAGTGTGGAAAATACTGTATATATTTTCCAGAAATTCAGTATTTATATGTAAATAGATGGCCATACTGTATTTAATAATATTTATGTCATAGAAAACGGAAAGCCTGCGTCTGCACAGACGAGACTCGCCATCTTGGTTTTGAATTTTGTACAAACGTTGGTGTAATGGGAAGAATTTTTCGTGCTCTGGAGGTTAAAATTGTGTTGACACCTCTCAAATAGGAGGCGAAATTGGTGGATATGCATTCCTGCATAACTTGAGATATCAGGTGACTGGACAAGATCTCTCCAGGAACCTCAGATAAGCTCTCTAATTTGTGTGTAATTTTTGGCCATCATTATTTTCATAGATTTAGTTAGAGTGAGGTTTTCTGAGTATGATACACATTAATCTCCAGTCAAATTGGGGGTGATATTAAGATATATTTTCCTTCTGTTATGTAATTGTGTATATATTTTAAACCAGTGCCTGCACTTGAAGGAGGGGTGTTAAATGTTTTCAGTTTAAAACTGTAGTGTAAAGCACCTTCTGGCAAGACAGTGATGAGTGAATGAAAGGTGAAAGTTTTTTCTTTTCGGGCCACCCTGCCTTTGGGAATCGGGCCCGTGTGATAATAAAAAAAAATATATAACCATTTATTATTTTTAATATACAGTCCACAAATTTATATATTTATCAGTATTCCTGGTGTATGTATATTTCATTTAATTAATAGGTCCAGAGCAACTCGTGGTTATGACAGTGGTAGGTATCGAAGGGGGACATTTTTTGCGACCTGGGTGTCCCAAATTCCTACTTGTCTATGTAACTCTGATAAATAATAATTATCTTTGTTATCATTTACTGTTATGTACATAATGAGTTACATTCAGATAAATGCAATTTTCCACATAACTAATATTTTTCAATCTTGTATTTTGCATTAACTGAACTTCATAAAATCCACTCTACTGGACAAATGACCTAAATTTCTACCACATCAGTACTGTACAAGTGACCTCTAACACAAACCAACCTAATTTATATTTTTACATAAAGTGCTAAACTCACGTTGGCCATTTGAGTGCTGCCAACCATTACACTAGTAATTACTGAAACAGCACCTTGTTACATATTAGATATTAAAAACTACCAAAATTTATACAAACATTAAAATAAATATCTATACGGCATTTTTTTGTACCATCACAAAAAAAACTTCAATACCATCCAACACACAGAAATATGAAAACGGCATTTTAAAAAATCTACTACAGCATATACTACTCTACATTACTGACGACTCGATGAGCAGCAACCTACGTGTGGTGAGTTCGGGTATTTTGCGCGACTGTGGGTTGATAGTCATGTAAAGTATTTAAGAGCTGCTCACAGTATATACTGTCTGTCTTGACAATATGTACCTACCTTTCCTGGGATTAAATCCGACTAAATCTACTTCACAGACGCTGTATGATCTCTAAGGGTTTAGTGCTTCTAGAATCGCCAATGAAATAAAAATTAATTGGTTGATCTGGCCCTGATCCACCGCGAGGTCTGGTTATGGACTAGGCCGCGGGGGCCTGGAGTTTACCTGGAGAGAGTTCCGGGGATCAACGCCCCCGCGGCCCGGTCTGTGACCAGGCCTCCTGGTGGATCAGAGCCTGATCAACCAGGCTGTTACTGTTGGCTGCACGCAAACCAACGTACGAGCCACAGCCCGGCTGGTCAGGAACCGACTTTAGGTGCTTGTCCAGTGCCAGCTTGAAGACTGCCAGGGGTCTGTTGGTAATCCCCCTTATGTATGCTGGGAGGCAGTTGAACAGTCTCGGGCCCCTGACACTTATTGTATGGTCTCTTAACGTGCTAGTGACACCCCTGCTTTTCATTGGGGGGATGGTGCATCGTCTGCCAAGTCTTTTGCTTTCGTAGTGAACTCCATAACACCCTCCAGGTATATTCCAAGTATACTGAACCCGGTATCAGGAATGGTATACACACCGGGATTAAAGTAATCCTGACTGATGGCGTACAGGTAAAATGCAGCCTTAATGACTTTTCTGCATTCATTAATTTTTAAATCTAGCCTATGGATAAACAGTTAAAATATGTTCCATATACAAGAAACGGAGAGCAGAAGAACCTGCAAATACGATATGGTTCCTGGTCCATTGTCTACAATGGAAGGGCACAGGGGGTGGGTGGGTAAGTTAGTTTAATGTGTTTATTATGCACCCCATACCCATCCTGTGGGCGGTAGGCAAAAGATTACAGAGGTACATAATTGGTCCAGGGACTGGACTCCAAAGTTTTGATAGCTGAGCAAGTTACAATGGTAATGAACTAGATCTGGTCATAATCATGACCAAGTTACAAAGGTAATGAGCTCCAGGTAGAGCTGGTCACACTCATGAATAATTGCAAAGGTAATGAATCATAAACACATTAATCATGAGAATTTACAAAGGTAATGAGCTCCAGGTAGAACTGGTCAAAATCATGGGTAAGAGGAAGATTATATATGTTCTATGCTACCACCCTACTCTATGACAGGTACAGTGTGGGGAATAAAGATTAGTTAATGTTTCCTTGTCATATTTTAAGTACCTTGCGAAGCTTCATTCCTAGTAAGTCTGCAGCCTTGTCGAATCCTGCGTGGACGGTGACACAACCAACTATCTCAGCTTGTTCGATGCCCCTCACCTCACGACCCCAATCACGCATGGCTTTCACTGCCATCAAGATGCTCTCAGAGCCTCCGGATGTTAACTGTAACATACAAATGTAGGAGATGAGTACAGTATGCCTTACAATAGTAAAATCTGTCACCCTCAAACGGAAAGATAAATACTGCTGTGGCCTGATAAACATTGTCATGACATACTTTGTAATGGCACAAATAGTGTCATGGCATAAAACTGTCATGGCATAAATACTGCCATAATATGATGAATGTTACCATGGCACGATATGCAGTACTATATACTATCTTACTAGGTATACAGTCCAACTGGAAGGACTGCATCATATTTTATGAAAAGCATTTGAAAAATATTCTGATAGTAATAAATTCTATATTATAAAAAAATATAATAATGTCATTATAATGAGATACAAACACAAAGCCAGGACATTAAAAAATATTTCTGATACAAAATATTTCAAATCCAATGTAGTATATATAACAAGGACCCTGGCAACTGAATAATGGCAACTCCCATACGTACATAACAAGAACCCTGAATTTCGGCAAAACACAGCAAGGAACATGAATCCTGGCAACTCATACACAATAAGGACCATGAAAGCCCCCTCAAGGGAGGTTCCTTGATGCTGCTGAGGAACTCTTGATCTAAGAAATTGGATCTGCGCTCCAATTCCCTGAATTAAACCCGAATGCCTTCCGCACCCCCCACCCCCCACAAGGGCTGTATAATCCCTACGGATTTCGCGCTCCCCATGATAATAAAAGGTAACAGGAAAGTAATAGAATGCGCATACTACATATAAATAGAAGTTTGTAAGATTTGCCTCTCGTCCTGCGTGTTCATATTAGATCAGCAATTATACCAGAGTGCAAAACAATTAAAAATTTTCCATTTCACTCATCTGATAGGACAGAAGTACCTTCCTGGATGGTCACTGTCTAGGACTCTCTACATATGTTGGCAACTTACACATAACAAAGACTGAATCTTTGCAACTTGCACATAACAAAGACCCTGAATCTTAGCAACTCACAAGGATCATGAATCCTGGCAACTTACAAGGACCCTGAATCTTGGCAACTCACAAGGACCATGAGTCTTGGCAACTTACAAGGACCGTGAATCTTGGCAACTTACAAAAACCATTAATCTTGGCAACTCACAAGAACCATGAATCTTGGCAATGCACAAGGGCCATGAATCTTGGCAACTCCTACATATAACAAGGATCCTGAATCTTGGCAACTCACAGATCCACAATGGTTGTCAGTACCATGGAAGAGGGAAATGGTCATCCTCACAATCTCTGCCTCCATCTTCATAACACCGGGAAAAACGTCGGCGTGGAGAGGATTGCTGAGGGCAAACAGGCCAAACATCTGCTCCATCAAGCTGTTGTAGGCAGCATTGTCACCAGAAAATGTTCCACCAGACATTTTACCATCTTGCCACTCATACCTACCTGATATGAAATGCGAATTTGATTATTTGTTTTGCATTTGTGAAGCTAAACCTGTATTGGTTATCCAGTGAAAGGGTTGTAGAGGTGGAGGTGCCTCTGCCTGCTAACTGTGGCTCTATTTTTAACCCTAGTTCAGGTACAGTAAACTGAATTTTTGCTTTCGGTCAAGCTTCTAGTTAAATCTTGAAAGAGGCAACTAGAGGAATCAAATATTGGCTAAAAGCAGCCTCTGTATTTATGCACTGAATGAGAAAAGCGTGAGCACCTAATTAAGTGTTGACTAGAACACTACTATTAAGTATAAACTGGAACAATTATATATTGACTGGGGCATCTAATTATGTATTAACAGGAATAAATATTCAGTATTAAAAGATCAGCAAAAGGTTAATTGGAACATTTAAGCTAATTATTAGTTTTAGAATGTAATCAATGTTAAGTGAAACATTTCAGTAATGTTAACTGGCAAACCTAGGCCCGTGTGTTCCAGAAATTATTAAGTATCTGTTGAAGTTATATTGCAAAGAATAGAAAACAAAATACATAGACAATACAGGAATACGTGTGTAGGTTGATTGTATCTGGTCATAAACACGGATAAATGCTAACAAGATAATTATTAGAGAGGAAACAAACCCTCGGAGAGTAGGGTGGAGGCAGCTTGAAGGACCTGGTCTCTGGTCCAGCCAGTGGGTGGTAGAGCCATCAGTGGCACACGACTGCTGTCTCCTCCAGTATTCTTATATATAGCGCGTTCAATCTCTGTGCCAGACACACAATATATTAGTGTTGACTGTATGCAGTGTTATCTTTACACCGGAATAATTACAGTATTAGACAATTGGTACTTCAAGCTTTCAAAATCTTCCTAATCTTGCCTGGGACGTTCTTTACCACTACTTGCACCAACCTTAGAGTTGTACACTCTCTTAATTAACCTGCATGTCTACAGCCTTTCTAAATCACCAAAACACCTCGACAACCCTTCCTTTGTATAGTATTCACACTGTGCACTGATCTTACACGTGACATTTACACTGCTTTCACTCTCCTTCTTGCTGAAATACTCAAATACCATGTCTCACACCCATATAAAAGTGTTGGCATCACTATCCTCTGGTACATTCCCGTTTTAGCATCACTGACAAGCTTCTGTCTTCCCACAAACTCCTCAATACTAGACCTACCTTCTTTTTTTCACCTACTGTGTAGAGGATAAGGAAGAATGTAAACGGCTCTCACCTGAGCGAGCTTCATCAATTCTCTCAGATATTCTTCGGTTGACAGATGGTATAGTACGTACCATTTTAAATGACCACTTCCTGATGCTCTCCCACACATCTGAAAATAACAATAGCTATCAATCAATGAACTGTATTACACAATTTTCCATTTACCCTGTGCAGTACAGAAAATGATGTACAATACGTGAGTGAAGAACGGACAATACAGACAAATAATATCATACCAAGTTAAAATAACCAGAAACAGTACAAAAATAACATTAAATCATTAACGTTATAAGACTACTAAAAAATTCCTCGAGATCCCTACAGGCAACCTGGAACAGACATACAGAATGAGTAGTTATGAATAGGTTTCCCTTTAGGTCACTATGCAATGTGGGAAATGTCTGTTAAAAAAAAAACTGCTTGCCAAGATGGTAGAACATTGGGTGTTGTGTACACAGTACGTAAACTTTCTCCAAACAATTGTAATAATGTCATGTGTTCCTCTCTGCTTTCTATTAAAAAGTGAAAATATTTAAAATTTGTTTTCAAATCGTAAACAATTAGTTTTTACCATAAGTTTATCTTTGTCTATTGGAGACATTTTGTCTTCCAACTCATTCTTTTCAATTCATGGGGAAGTGCCAAACTTACAAGACTCGTGCAGTGCCTGGGGAATGGGAGTAATCAGGTTTGATCCAAGGGGTAGCTCCAGTTCCTAGAAGCAGGAGTCTGTCACCAGCATCAAAGCCAGGCAACAAAGCTGACTAGAGTCCTCTTCAGAAAATCAATGGAAAAAAAAAAACTTGTCACTGCTTTTATTAGTGACCTCACCAATAAAAAGATCTCATATAATGTCCCCTGTAAAAAAATAGTCTACATCACCCCCTGTGGGCACTGCATGAAAGTTTTCACAAGGAAAATAGATAACTTAACCACAAGAGTTTATGAAGACAAATATGACTGCAGCAGAGATGACATTAGTACAGTAACGCATGTGTTGTACACAGCTGGTCCAGTGGGTTACGCACTGGCCTGGAGTTTTACGACTCACACCATGAGTTCTAACCCCACCCGTACCGTTGTTTGGGAAGTAATAAAATTTAATCCTAGGAACCGGAGGATAACATAAATTCCTAGGATAGAGAGCTCTTCACCAACATCAAAGTACGTTCCTTGAAGAGTGAGAATCGATATTCTTACCTTGTCTGTTATGGTAGAGATTCCTGGTAGTGTAGACAGCGAGAGTTAGAGTGGCTGTGGCTGCTACAATTTGCCACCTCTGGTAGCTGCTCACTCCGTTCTCCAACTGCTCCTCCAACCCTGCAACACCGGAGTCTAGTTATTATCCTTCATTATTTAACTCGATAATAACTGCACTTTGTTACAAGGATACTTGGCAGTAAGTGAGCTCAGAATTGCAAGGTCACGTATCACACATTTTTTAGCTTCATTATTTGACTCACTTCTTTGTGCATTTTATGCAAGCTTTCCATTTCCTGCAACTTTCTGGCCACTGCAATGCATGCTAGCTCACAGCTCATCTGCGCAGTGCTTATTTCATCTTTTAAGCCTAACTAAAATAATGCTAGCTATTTTTCCAAGTGTTTTACAGTTAAGAAATACAAACTTACATTAGCAAAATAAATAAAAATAAAAGACTAAATATTTAAAAGATAATTTCGATAAACTGAGTAATTGTAGTGACAAGCAGCCCAGTGGATATAAAATACTTTGCTTGACTTTACTGGGCTATCCTGGGTTAAATCTACATCATTTTTTTTTTTATTTGCCTGTAACACCGGTATGTCCTCAGATTTATTGTAAAGAGATGCCATATTTGTATGCTATACCTGGAGAAGGTTTCGGGGGTCAACGCCCCCGTGGCCCGGTCTGAGACCAAGCCTCGTGGTGGATCAGGGTCTGATCAACTAGGCTGTTACTGCTGGCCGCACGCAAACTGACGTACGAACCACAGCCCAGTTGGTCAGGTACTGACCTTAGGTGCTTGTCCAGCGCCTTCTTGAGGACAGCCAGGGATATAGTGGTAATCCACCTTATGTATGCTGGAAGGCAGTTGAACAGTTTTGGGCCCCTGACACTTATTGTGTTGTTTCTCGGTGTACTCATGACGCCCCTGCTTTTCTTTGGGGGGAGCTGTATAATCCTACGGGTTTAGCGCTTTTCCTTGAATATAATAATAATCATTTTCATTGGTTGAATGTTGCATCTCCCGACGAGTCCTTTGCTTGCTAGGGATTGATTTTCGTGTGCAAGTTTGGTGCTATGTACACAAAATCTAAATAAAAACTTAATTACTGTACTTACTGACAGATGGATTATATAATTTAATGTTGATAAATGCCATGTAATGGAACTGGGGGGGGGAATAAAATCTGACCACACTAACAATAGATTGTATAAAATCTTGAGAGTATCATACAAATAATGTGTGTGAAATGCATGTGTGTAATCACCTGGTTGTGGTTGCAGCGGCCGAGACACAGCTCCTGGCCCCGCCTCTTCACTGATCGCTACTAGGTCCTCTCTTTCTGCTTCCAGAGCTTTGTCATACCTCGTCTTAAAGCTATGTATGGTTCCTGCCTCCACTACATCACTTGCTAGGCTATTCCACTTCCTGACGACTCTATGACTGAAGAAATACTTCCTAACATCCCTATGACTCGTCTGAGTCTTCAGCTTTCAGTTGTGACCCCTTGTTTGTGTGTCCCCTCTCTAGAACAATCTGTCTCTGTCTACCTTATCTATTCCACGCAGTATCTTGTATGTCGTTATCATGTCTCCCCTGATGTGCGTGTGTTTGTGTGTGTGTGTGTGTGTGTGTGTGTGTGTGTGTGTGTGTGTGTGTGTGTGTGTGTGTGTGTGTGTGTGTTAGTTACCATTTGGTCCTAGGCACATGTCGATTAGACACTAGGCCTGTTGTATGTGTGCGTGTGTGTGTGTTTGTGTGTGTGTGTACTCACCTAATTGTACTTACCTAATTGTGGTTGCAGGGGTCGAGACTAAGCTCCTGGCCCCACCTCTTCACTGATCGCTACTAGGTCCTCTCCCTCTCTGCTTCCTGAGCTTTGTCATACCTCTTCTTAAAACTATGTATGGATGCTGCCTCCACTACGTCACTTGCTAGGCTATTCCACTTCCTGACGAGTCTATGACTGACGAAATACTTCCTAACGTCCCTGTGACTCGTCTGAGTCTTCAGTTTCCAATTGTGACCCCTTGTTTCTGCGTCCCCTCTCTGGAACATCCTGTTTCTGTCCACCTTGTCTGTTCCCCGCAGTATCTTGTATGTCGTTATCATGTCTCCCCTGACCCTTCTGTCCTCCAGTGTCGTCAGTCCGATTTCCCTCAACCTTTCCTCGTACGACATTCCCCTGAGCTCTGGAACTAGCCTTGTTGCAAACCTTTGTACTTTCTCTAACTTCTTGACGTGCTTGACCAGGTGTGGGTGCCAGACTGGTGCTGCATACTCCAGTATGGGCCTAACATACACAGTGTACAGTGTCTTGAACGATTCCTTATTAAGGTATCGGAACGCTATTCTCAGGTTTGCCAGGCGCCCGTATGCTGCAGCAGTTATTTGGTTGATGTGTGCCTCCGGTGACGTGCTCGGTGTTATGGTCACCCCAAGATCTTTCTCCCTGAGTGAGGTCTGTAGTCTTTGTCCACCTAGCCTATACTCTGTCTGCGGTCTTCTTTGCCCCTCCCCAATCTTCATGACTTTGCATTTGGCAGGGTTGAATTCGAGAAGCCAGTTTCTGGACCACGTGTCCAGCCTGTCCAGGTCTCTTTGCAGACCTGCCTTATCCTCATTCGATTTAATTCTTCTCATCAGCTTCACATCATCTTCGAATAGGGACACTTCAGAGTCTATTCCTTCCATCATGTCGTTCGCATATATCAAAAATAGCACTGGTCCTAGAACTGACCCCTGTGGGACCCCGCTCGTCACAGGCGCCCACTGTGATACCTCTTCACGTACCATGACTCGTTGTTGCCTCCCTGTCAGGTATTCCCTGATTCATTACAGTGTCCTCCCTGTTATATGTGCCTGATCCTCCAGCTTCTGCACTAATCTCTTGTGAGAAACTGTGTCAAAGGCCTTCCTGCAGTCCAGGAAAATGCAATCAACCCACCCTTCTCTCTCGTGTCTTACTTCTGTTACCTTGTCATAAAACTCCAGAAGGTTTGTGACACAGGATTTGCCTTCCATGAACCCATGCTGGTTTTCATTTATAATCTTGTTCCGTTCCAAGTGTTCCACCACTCTCCTCCTGATAATCATCTCCATGACTTTGCATACTATACATGTCAGAGACACAGGTCTGTAGTTTAGTGCCTCGTTTCTGTTTCCTTTCTTAAATATAGGGACTACATTTGCTGTCTTCCATTTCTCAGGTAGTTGCCCAGTTTCAAGGGATGTGTTGAAGATTGTGGTTAGGGGCACGCACAGCATCTCTGCTCCTTCTCTAAGGACCCATGGGGAGATGTCCGGTCCCATCGCCTTTGAGGTATCAAGGTCACTTAACAGCTTCTGCACCTCCTCCTCGGTTGTTCGTATGTCATCCAACACTTGTTGGTATACTCCCTCTTGATGTTCCCTTCTGTGCTGTCTTCCCAGAGCCCTTCCTGTCTCTACTGTAAAAGCTTCCTTAAATCTCCTGTTTAGCTCCTCACATACCTCCTGATTATTTCTTGTGAGTTCTCCACCTTCTGTCCTCAGTCTGATCACCTGGTCTTTGACTGTTGTCTTCCTCCTGATGTGGCTATACAACAGTTTCGGGTCAGTCTTGACTTTCGATGCTAGGTTATTTTCATACTGTCGCTGGGCCTCCCTCCTTACCTGTGCATACTCGTTCCTGGCTCTGCGACTAATCTCCCTATTTTCATGTGTTCTCTGCCTTCTGTACTTTTTCCATTCTCTATTGCACTTTGTTTTTGCCTCCTTACACCGTCGGGTAAACCAGGGGCTCGTTCTGGTCTTCCCATTGTTTATGTTGCCCTTGGGAATAAACCTTTCCACTGCCTCCTTACATTTTGTTGCTACATATTCCATCATTTCATTTACTGGCTTTCCTGCCAGTTCTCTGTCCCACGGAACCTCCTGCAGGAAGTTCCTCAAACCTATGTAGTGTGTGTGTGTGTATGTTAGTTACCATTTTGTCCTAGGCACATGTCGATTAGACACTAGGCCTGTTGTGTATGCGTGTGCGTGCGTGCGTGCGTGCGTGCGTGCGTGCGTGCGTGTGTGTGTGTGTGTGTGTGTGTGTGTGTGTGTGTGTGTGTGTGTGTGTATGTGCGCATGTGCATGAGTGTGTGTGTGTGCATGTGCATGAGTGTGTGCATGCGCGCGCTTACAGTGCGTGTCAGATGGATTATTTCACAGGCGATACATAAATAGAGATAAGACACTACCTAGCACACTTCCCTCAACGTGATCACCACCACACTACTACTACTACTACTACTACTACTACTACTACTACTACTACTACTACTACACCACATTATTACACAACCACACTACAACACGACCACTCCATCACCACACCTCCACATCATGCCAGAACCCTGCCACACCACCACACCACCCCGCTAACATATCATTCCACCACACTAACATATTATCACTCCCACCATACTACCACACAACCGCATTAATACCACCTGACCCCTACACTACCATACCAGAACAATGCCACTCTACAGCATCATCACACCTCACTATACCACCACACTCCTACACCATACTATCACACTAACGTATCATCACATCACCACACTTCCACACCACCATACAACCACATCACAGTAACACACTTCTAGAATACTTTACACGAAGAGGTCGGCGAAGGAAACAAAATAATGATCTTATCTCACTCACAGTGCAAGATGAGCCACAGCTGCTCCATCCTCAGTGACTAACTGGGTGTAGTTATAGACATACAACTGCAAGGACCCCTGTTTTGTCCTCGGTACCTGAGTGAGGCAGCAACGAGTGCACACGTCTGAACACTGAGAGAACTGGGGATGAAGTGCGCCCCTTGACCCACCTGCCAGTGGCGGCCACCACTGATAACCATTTCTGAGGTTATCTTTGTTCCATAACGACAGTAGCGAGTGTCCAGATACACGTGTGTTTCTTAACTCCAGGAGTACATGTCCAAACACATTTGTGTTCCATAACACCACCAACATATATCTAGACATGTGTTCCATAACACTAGCAGTGCGTGTCTATGACACACTTGTATCACAATTATAAACGGTAAATATTACATTACTGACAATTTGATGAACAAGACACAATACTAGGAATCTTTTTTTATTAACAGTTTCGCCTGTACTGCATACTCTGGCTCTGGTGGCCTGGTGGCTAACGCTCTCGCTTCACACGGCGAGGGCCTGGGTTCGATTCCCAGCCAGAGTAGAAACATTGGACGTGTTTCTTTCCACCTGTTGTCTATGTTCCCCATCAGTAAAATGGGTACCTGGGTGTTAGTCGACTGGTGTGGGTCGCATCCTGGGACACTGACCTAATTTGCCCGAAATGCAGAGCATAACAAGGGAGTTTCTATATAGTAGTATGTCATTGTTGTCAGCTAGGACTGTATACCTTGTACATGTACTTGTAGTAAATAAAGATATTATTATTATTATTACTTCATCAGTCGAAAACAGAGACGAATTACACTCCAGGAGACATCAGCCTTAGTGGAAAACGAAGTAGACGAAGTGGAGAGGTAGTATGATGTATTCAGTCCCTCAGCCTTGATGCAAGATAATCAGTCTTAGCCTCTTAGCTATTAGTGGTCATAGGCTTCATATACCGGTAAGCAGGATGCCTTCAATAATTCTATTGCTAACAAATATTTAACATGACCTCGAGAGTGCAACGGACAAGTGAAGTAGCAGCAGCAGCAACACACAGCAAGAGGCATTCTTGAACTTCCCCAGCGCTCGGGCTTAATGCCCAAAGCTAGGGTGTGGCTCCAAAAGGGTCCTGGACCTGCAGTGCTCACTGCTTTTGCACCTCTTGACATCGTCTGCTGCTACGCAGCTGTCACATCCTTCGAGCTCAGTGTTGGCGGGGAATGGGGATATGCCTGGGGACAGCTAGTCCCAGAAGATGAGGAGGTACTTGTACCTCCTCCCATGGCAGACATTAGTCTGAGACACTCCCATGAAAGGGAGCCAATGCCGGGCCACCTCTTGGAAAAGGCCCGGGCCGGGCGATTATTCCGGCGAATCAACACCGGTGGCCTGGTGGCTAAAGCTCCCGCTTCACACACGGAGGGCCCGGGTTCGATTCCCGGCGGGTGGAAACATTTCGACACGTTTCCTTACACCTGTTGTCCTGTTCACCTAGCAGCAAATAGGTACCTGGGTATTAGTCGACTGGTGTGGGTCGCATCCTGGGGGACAAGATTGAGGACCCCAATGGAAATAAGTTAGACAGTCCTCGTTGACGCACTGACTTTCATGGGTTATCCTGGGTGGCTAACCCTCCGGGGTTAAAAATCCGAACGAAATCTTATCTTATCTTATCTTACTAGTGGGCACAGCTCACCTCTGACCTCATCTCCAAGCTGCTACACCAGGAGTCGGCGAGCTTTTTTAGGTATTGCCCCAAAACAAATTTGTGTACAGGGAAATTACCCACTAGATTTGAAAGTCCACAAAATCGGGAAAAACACAAGCATTCATATTCAAAACAGTTTATTGAATTCATTTGTATGAAGACTCGCGGTGTTGCCAGCTGCTGCAGTCCTCACCCGTTTTACATCATTGCCAACTTAAGAAATGGTCCCTACAAATTAGATTTTCAATTGTATTAAGAAACTACAAATTATTTGTCTGAAAAAATATAACTTTCGTAATTTGCCTCGTTTATTAAATAATAATTTTTGTGCAATTTTATATAAATGTTCATTGAACCTTCATTACCCCCGAGATTTTCATTTTTACCCAGTTTGGGGTAATTTAGCCCAGTTGCCCGACCCCTGTGCTGCACTAAACTTCCCGGTATATAAGACTATGGCCACATGCTTTAGGCTCTTAAGAGATTGATTATCTTACACCAAGTGTTGCATAACACCAGTACCACGTATCCAGAGATATGTGCACTCTAACACCAGTAGCCCATGTCCAGACGCGTGTGTTCTATAACACCAGAGGTACATGTCCAGACACAGGTGTTCTGTAACACCAGTAGTACATGTCCAGACACAGGTGTTCTATAACACCAGTAGTACATGCCCAGACACAGGTGTTCTATAACACCAGTAGTATATGTCCAGACACAGGTGTTCTGTAACACCAGTAGTATATGTCCAGACACAGGTGTTTTATAACACCAGTAGTACATGTCCAGACACAGGTGTTCTATAACACCAATAGTACATGTCCAGACACAGGTGTTCTATAACACCAGTAGTATATGTCCAGACACAGGTGTTCTGTAACACCAGTAGTATATGTCCAGACACAGGTGTTCTATAACACCAGTAGTACATGCCCAGACACAGGTGTTCTATAACACCAGTAGTATATGTCCAGACACAGGTGTTCTTAACACCAGTAGTATATGTCCAGACACAGGGTGTTCTGTAACACCAGTAGTATATGTCCAGACACAGGTGTCTGTACACCAGTAGACATGTCCAGACACAGGTGTTCTGTAACACCAGTATACATGTCCACAAGGTGTTCTATAACACACATAGTACATGTCCAGACACAGGTGTTCTATAACACCAGTAGTACATGTCCAGACACAGGTGTTCTGTAACACCAGTAGTATATGTCCAGACACAGGTGTTCTGTAACACCAGTAGTACATGTCCAGACACAGGTGTTCTATAACACCAGTAGTACATGTCCACAGGTGTTCTATAACACACATAGTACATGTTCAGACACAGGTGTTCTATAACACCAGTAGTATATGTCCAGACACAGGTGTTCTATAACACCAGTAGTACATGTCCAGACACAGATGTTCTATAACACCAGTAGTATATGTCCAGACACAGGTGTTCTGTAACACCAGTAGTATATGTCCAGACACAGGTGTTCTGTAACACCAGTAGTATATGTCCAGACACAGGTGTTCTATAACACCAGTAGCACATGTCCACACGTGTTCTATAACACCAGTAGTACATGTCCACAGGTGTTCTGTAACACCAGTAGTACATGTCCACAGGTGTTCTATAACACCAGTAGTACATGTCCAGACACAGGTGTTCTATAACACCAGTAGTACATGTCCAGACACAGGTGTTCTATAACACCAGTAGTATATGTCCAGACACAGGTGTTCTGTAACACCAGTAGTATATGTCCAGACACAGGTGTTCTGTAACACCAGTAGTATATGTCCAGACACAGGTGTTCTATAACACCAGTAGTACATGTCCACAGGTGTTCTATAACACCAGTAGCACATGTCCAGACACAGGTGTTCTGTAACACCAGTAGTACATGTCCACAGGTGTTCTGTAACACCAGTAGTACATGTCCACAGGTGTTCTGTAACACCAGTAGTACATGTTCACAGGTGTTCTATAACACCAGTAGTACATGTCCAGACACAGATGTTCTGTAACACCAGTAGTACATGTACAAACACAAGTGTGTTCTATAGGTAGCACATGTCCACATAAGTGTCTTCATAACGCCAGCAGCACATGACTCTAACAGAGGTATGGGTATGTATGGGAAAGAGATGGATGTATAGTTATAAGAAACAGTAATAAAAATTATCACAACAAAAACATTAAAAATAGCAAGCTTTTTTGATCAGTAATAAATAAAAATAGTGGTTAAGAACACGTAGTGGCATAAATACGCAAAATATATAAATGGATTACAAAGTTAATCCACAGTTTATATACAGAGAAGCGTATATCCTTCAGTGTATATATACCGAGAGGTACCGTATTTATCCCTCAATGTATATTCATCGAATTAGTCATCAGTGTATATATCCCTGGTATAATCCTTGATCAAGGTCTCAGGTCCCAGGACCAAAACGTTTTCTAATATGTCCTAGTGTTTGCTTACGTGTCTTTCTAACCAATATATTCTTCAGTGTGTACACTTAGAAAGGCATATATTCCTCAGTGTATACACACAGAAAGGCATATATTCCTCAGTGTATACACACAGAAAGGCATATATTCCTCAATGTATACACACAGAAAGGCATATATCCCTCAATGTATACACACAGAAAGGCATATATCCCTCAGTGTATACACACAGAAAGGCATATATCCCTCAATGTATACACACAGAAAGGCATATATCCCTCAGTGTATACACACAGAAAGGCATATATCCCTCAGTGTATACACACAGAAAGGCATATATCCCTCAGTGTATACACACAGAAAGGCATACATCCCTCAGTGTATACACAGAAAGGCATATATCCCTCAGTGTATACACACAGAAAGGCATATATCCCTCAGTGTATACACACAGAAAGGCATATATTCCTCAGTGTATACACACAGAAAGGCATATATTCCTCAATGTATACACACAGAAAGGCATATATCCCTCAATGTATACACACAGAAAGGCATATATCCCTCAGTGTATACACACAGAAAGGCATATATCCCTCAGTGTATACACACAGAAAGGCATATATCCCTCAGTGTATACACACAAAGGCATATATCCCTCAGTGTATACACACAGAAAGGCATATATCCCTCAGTGTATACACACAGAAAGGCATACATCCCTCAGTGTATACACAGAAAGGCATATATCCCTCAATGTATACACACAGAAAGGCATATATCCCTCAATGTATACACACAGAAAGGCATATATCCCTCAGTGTATACACACAGAAAGGCATATATTTCTGTCTATACATACCGAGAGGTTACTTTATTCTTTAATTTAGGGATGTGAATTTAATACTAAATTTTTATCCAGTAGCCTAGATCTTTTCCACATAATTGAGACAAGTCGTTCACATTATACATGAAGTTGATGCAGTTGTTTAACTAGTTAATATCGTGACTATA